AGTTTTTTTTTAGTTGTTCGTTTTTGTTTCGCTTTCCCTTTTGTATAAATATTCAATGCATTATTTAATAATTTCAATTTACCATTATTATAATTATTTAGTATCATTTAATCGTTATTAAGTGTAATTAAAATTCCTCTAGTTGAAGGCAATCGGCGAATATATTTGAAATTATTTATGCAATTATTTTACATACGTTTTGTTTCAATTTTATTTATACATTACATTACGTTGACTAAACTTAGGTCTCTCCTGGAAAACAAGTTGAAATACAAATAGTCCTTACTCTGAATGCTTTTCTACATAATTTGTCTACCTGTAAGCTAGCTTATGGTAGCTTCTGCCTGCCCGAATGATTTTCCCTTTCCCTTTCCACTTCATTATCATTTTCATTTGGTTTTTTCGTCTGGTTTAAAAGTCATCTGAATCTGGAAAACTTAGGTGTAATTTTGCTAAGGATGTCTCGCTCTACGTTTACCGTTATAAAACACTTCCTTCCGCTATGTGTATATGCTTGTATATACTATGTATGTATATAATATATAATATATATAATATATATATGAGTACGACGAATGTTTGTATATGTCCTATGTACAGATCGTGTGTGGCTGTGTTAAAAGTTAGGCTTACTCGTAGATACGTGGCTAAATTGGTTGTCTTGGTAAAAAAAATTGTCGCCGCCGGACAAGGCCGACTCCTGTATCCTCTATGTACACGCTTAGCTGGTTGATCGCTCTCTCACGGTCTCACTTGAAAATCACTTTAAGGCAGTTTCCTATACACTCCATCAGATGCTGCTGCTGCTGAACGAAACAAGTCGTGGTCAATCGTGCTGAAGCCTTGAGATCCTTGGGGCGTGGCAAGGGACTAAACCAGGGGCTGGGTGTGCCTATTGTTAATCAGGAGCTGCAACTTACGATATTCGATTGGCTGATAGGAACCTGTTTTTAAATTATATCGAAAATCAATGGCTTCAGTATTTACGCCAAGTTGGAAGACAGTAACTAAGGTGCTTGCTGCTTGAAGGGGAAAAAATTAATAATAATAAAAGCCTGCCACGCCCCGCCTTGCTCCAGCCTGCTCCCTTACGATATTCGCATACTCCATAATCGATCATCGATAGTCGGGGAGTGGCTGTTCCGGACTCGCGATCTCGCTCAAAGTTGCCTGCTATCGCCTCTCACTAATTATTGTCTGCTATTTGTTCACACACACACAAATTGATATACGCTAAGTGCCTAAAGTAAGCCTGAACCGCAATCGGATATATTGATATCGGATATGGGATATCGGTTATCGTGCATCGGGCATCGGACATTGGTCGTCGGAAATCGAGAATCGGGTGAACGAAACGAAGGACTTGGGAATCGAGACGAGGGTCAAAGTCGAAGGCCAAGCTTTTGTTGGCTTCTGTGGATTTCGATACGTTCTAGATTCGAGATTCGATTTTCGGTTTCGCTTGTCGGAAATATTCAGCAAATTTGTATAGTTGCTTAGTGCTGTTAATTATTAATTGGGTGTTTACGTTAATGCTCGATTTGGTTCAGCTTCGTAAAAATTTGTCTGAGAATGTGAATTGGCAGTTTCAATTTGTAATGCAATATCTGTTCTTCCGTTTATCGTTATCGTTATCGCTAGTGCGTTCGTTTTTTTTTTACAATTTTGATTCGATTAGTTTACAATTAAAAAATGCTTTCGCTTCCATATTTCGTCTAATAAAAGGTTCTTTCTCACTATTCGATTCGATTCAGCTAGGGAGTTCAACTAAATTGTATTTTTTATTCGTACCGTTGCGCTAATCACTCTTTTATTCGATTTAAAATATAAGTTACGTGTATTTTCACCAATATGCTTCACTAATTGTTGCTTTTAGTTCGATCTTTCATTGCGCTTTTCGTTCTACGTTTTTGTTCTTGAGCTTTGAGAAATTGACTTTCTTCGTCTTTTTGCTGAGGTGCACGGGTGCTGAGATAGAGAGATAAAGATAAATGAGAAAGGGAAAGGTGGGGGGGAATTCCAAATCCAAAATGAAACAAGACAAACAATGATATGTATACAAGTCTCCTTTTTTATTGCACAAACAAAAAAAACAAAAGAATGAGAAAGTAAGGCTGAGTTACAGAACTAAAACCTTAACTTAGCCACCAAAGAATACATAATAATAATTATACATAAACAATATGGCGGAAGAAACCAGACCGGGAATCGGTGATCGGTAATCGGTAATCGTTAATCGAACAAACAAACAAACATTCCAAAAAATATACAAACAAACACAAAACATTAATTGAGATTCATGGAAGTCTATTAATAAATTAGGAAAAATATATATATATATATATATATATATATATATATATATATATATATATATATTTAACTAATAAATTAATGCTAAAATCTGAATGTGGGAAGGGAGAGAGTAGACAGAGAGAGAGAGAGAGAGTGGGAGAGAGAAAAAGAAGTGCTGTGCTGTGTGGTGAAAAGTGGACAGAACTGGACCCGGAGGTGGTGAAACGTGGTGAGAAGTCATCGATCTGCCTGCTCGGCCTCCGTTTCCGCTTCCGCTGTTGCCTGTTGCCTGTGTATGCTTATTGCATCTAGGGTTGCCTTTATGAAATGTCCTTCTTAACTTCTAGATTCAGCTAGTACAATTCGTATTCGTTCGATTTTGGAGTAAATATTGCGGCAAACACTTTGAAAAATAAAGTTTTGCATTTTGTTTGTTTGTTCGATCGATATCGATATCGATTCGCCTTAAACTTGTTACGATATTTTACAATTGCTTTTAGTTGGAGTTACGAGTTACGAGTTACGCATTACGAGTTACGAGTTACGAGTTACGAGATACGAGAGATTCCATCTTGTGCTACACTAAGTATTCTTGGTTTCTGGCTTCTGGCTTCCTTCCGGAAATGGCTATAGCCCAGCATGTAGATCATACGTATCGCTTTAACACTATCGACTAATGGCAATTTCCTTGTAATATGCTTACGTTTTGGTATGGTATTCCTTCGCTCCCTATAATTACAGTGTAAGTATCCTCGATATTTATACATTTGCTTTTCGTTTACCATTTCTTATTGCGAGTCTGTGTCTGTGTTTGTGTTGTGTGTTGTGTGTTGTGTGTTGTGTGTTGTGTGTGTGTGAGGCTTAACCTATTAATGCACGACAAAAAAAAAAAACGCAGACAAAAATGGTTCCGTTTGAACTAGAATTACAATTACTTTACTTAGTTGGCTATAAGCTGTAAAAAAAAAATACGCTAAAATTACTTATTACCATTTATTGTTATAATTATTGTTTTTTGCCTCCTTCCCTTATCTCGATAAACATCCCTACGCTTTCTTTCCACGCTCTCCCCCCTCCTTTTGCCCAACGCTTTTCACTTTTCACTCGAATCAAAAAACACAATTAAAATGACAGAGAAAGTGAGGCTTGAATTCCAGGTGAGAGCAGGTTCATCGGCAATTCCTGATTCTGAGACAAGGAACCTATTTGTGGGCCAATTCCTTTCGCTGTGGCATTGCAGGCACCCCGAGGAAATCCCCCAAAGGAAAACCAACCGGAAACCCCCTCTAAAACTAACCACCCTCCCCACCCTCGCTCAGCTATACACTTAACTTTACTATTTTTCATTTGGTTTTCTTCTTATTTGGTTGGCAGTGACAATTTGCTGTTAGATTCGCATCTCTTGGCTTGGCTTTTTCTGGCTGTGTCTGGTACGTCATTGGTCGTCCATAGCGGAGATAGAGACGGGAATAGTCCTGGATAGAGATAGCGGATACAGAGAGAGAGATAGAGAGAGAGACTAAACAGGGGAAAACTTTTGAGGCATCTGTGAGACGGGGGGTTCTTGGTCCATTTCGCGGGTCTTACGGAAGTCAATGGGGGTCATTAGGGAATACGGAAACTGAGCGGAAGGTGCGCTTCAAAAAGTTTTCTGGACGGATATTACGATTTGTAGCACGTGATGATGAAGTCGTCGATCTGTGGATGAGTCTCTGGCATCTGGCATCTGGCATCTGGGTTTTCTGAGTCTGAGCTGGTGTGGAGTCTGCAAGTGGGTCTGAGTATCGAGTGTCTGTGTTTAGGTGATGACTTTTTTGGGTTCGCTTAGGCTCTAACTACTGGAGGGGTGATGCTGGGGGTCGCCGGGAAGGGGGTCACCTGCAATGCCGGGGAATCGTCGAGATCCAAAACTAAGCCCTAAGTTTAATTATCGCTATGATTACACTTGGTTTATGGTGGCTAAGCATTCTCCCCCGATCCTCCTGACCTTTTTTTTTTTTGGTTATTTTCCCTCCTTGAACCCCCTTGCATTTTCCGCTTTTCCTCGTGGTGGCTGCGCATTAGGCGTATTATCATAGAGAGAGAGAGAGTGAGAGAGTTGAGTATGCTCTATTATTAGTTGAGTTAATTGATTTATGCTGCGAATGTTGCTGCTCTCCGTCTGCTGAATGATCGATCGATAATAATATATATGTATGCTTCATATACTATATATGTATGTATGTATGTGTGTGTGGCTGTGTTTAAAACCTCCGTTTCCGTTTCCGTCCCGGTCTGTCTCTGTTCTTTGGGTGTTTTAGTCTGTCAGTTGTTGTTTTTCGGTTATATAATGATGCGCGCTATAGTTTCCTTTTAATTAAACTATGTAAATGTATCTTCTTTCTTTTTTTGTTTTTTGTTTTTGTTTTTGTTTTTCATTCTTATTTTTGTTTCGGCTTCCGGTTTCGGTTTTTCGGTATGGTATTTTCTGAACTTTCTTGATATTTACTGATATTTTCTGTTCGTTTCGTCTCGGTTTATCATTATCGTTATTCTCGGTTTTGTTTCTTGCCTTCCTTTCTACCTGCTCACATTTCTGTTTTCTGTTTTCTATTTTTCTCTTTTCTCTTTTCTGTTTTTCAGTTTTCCCTTTTCTGTATACAAAAAATTGTGTTTGCATTTTTTTCGGTTTTCGTTTTTTTTATGTTTTTTAGTTTTGCTTGTTGTTTGTGGTTTTTGTTTTTTTTGCTTTGTTTTCATTTGTTTAGCGAGTAATACAAATGCTTAGAGTTAGACAAAAAAAAATGTTTATATATATATAATATATATATATATCGTTTTATATATATATTTATATATGTAGAATTATTTGTATGCTTGACTTAGTTAACCTACATTCGAATACATGAACACTTCAAGATATCATTGTAATAAGTAATTTAATTTAATTTAATTGAATTTAATTTAATTAAACTGTTACTCTTACGTTTCTGCCTTAGCATTTTCCCCTTTCGATTCTCTCGACTTTCTTCGGGCCCCGGGCGTCTCTTGGGGAGAACTGAGAGCGGATGGGGTTGCCTACCTCACCTCACTTCTCCCCAATTTTCCCGGCTTTTCGTGGTGTTGTTTCTGCTGCTGCATCGTTTACGCTTTTCCCTCTGCCTTCTGCTTCTTTGCTTCTTCGTGGTGATAGTGATGCTGATGTTGACTCTCAGAAATTCTATTCGATTTTCTTCTTTTTTTTTTGGGTAATACAGAAATGCAATTTTCCGCGGGCGTCGTCTCGACTTTGTTGATGTTTGGTTTAGTTAACGCTGCATGACAAGCAAAGTGCGGTGCGGTGTGTGTGTGTGTGTAGGTGTGTGTGTGTGTGTATATGTCTGTGTGTCTGTATGTATGTTGTATCGATTGCGATATCGCGCGTTTTCGTGTGCGTTCTACGGGGCGTATGGGTAATGTCGCCGCTCGGCGTGGTGGCGTATGAGTGATGTCGCTGTAAGCGTGTGATGTGTCGGTGCTCCTGTCCGTTTCCGTTTCCGTTGGTGTCCTGTGTCGCTGTTCTCCGTTCTCCTCACACTTTGACCTTGTCCTTTGGGGCAACTTTCCTATGGTTACGCTGATCGCCATTGGCGATCCCTTTGGTGACTTGTGACCTTGTGACCTTTGACCGGCAGCGGTTGCCAAGCGCCGCCGGCCATCAGATCCTGACCGGAAGTCCCTTGTGGCCGGAACTTCCCGTTGTTGTTAGCTTGCTCTCCAGCTGTTCGATTCCTTAATTGATTGATTGATCTTAATACAAAAAAATGACGTTCGTTTTGCGTGGATTGTTGTTTTTCCTATTTTCCTCCATTTTTCCTCATTGCTTACGTCCGCTTCCATTTCGCCCAGATGCTGTTGCTGTTGTTGTTGTTGTTGCTGATAATTGGTTGGTGTTATCGACTATCGATAGGTCTTCGGTCCGTTCCTTTTTCTCGTGACACGTTGAAAATGCTTGACTAGTATGACTGACTGACTGACTGACTGCGCTGACGATAGTTTTTTTGGTTGTATTTTTAAGATACGTTTTTATTTTTTTAAAGATTTTTTAGCGGTGTTTTGTGGTTTTCAATGAAGCGGCTGCTGCGAAGATCTCTAGATTTTCTTGTGGTTGTATTTTTTATTTTGTTTTAGTCTTGTTCTTGTTGAGTTTAGTTGTTGAGTTTTGAGATGGTTTTCAAATGGAGACGACAAATTGCATTTTGTATTGTTTCTAATACTCCCAATATCATGCATCCTGTATTTCACCTTTTAAGCCAGGCACCCTGTGGTGTTGGTTATGTCCTAAACGATTCGCTAAGTCCTGTACAACATCACGAAATATAACTGTATCTATGTTTTCACCTAGTAAATACAACAAAAACCAATCGCCCATCTTTGAACGACGAACGATTATTTCAATAGCGTCACGACGCACTAACCTGTAAGTTGAAAAAAAAGGGATTAGTAATATATATTTCAGGCAGTATATACATATATGTATGTATCTGATGGGGGTAACAACATAGCTGTATCTACCCCTCATCAGATGCCATAGATACTCTTGTTAGAAACTCACCTAAATCGCATACGAAATAAGTAGACCCTCATTCGAGGCGAGAATATAATAACCACCCTGTATATTAGCGTTAATAATGTGAGAAACGTTAATAAGATAAACCAAAACCAAAGGAAAATGTAAATTTTCTCATTAACAACGTTTAATGGTAAAATGCAAATGGCGTCGTGTTTCTCCACCTAAAAAAGAGTTGCATGGAAAAAGTTATAAAAAAAAATAAAGGGTTAAATTGGTTATTATGGGTGGTGGTGCGCATTGAGTCGAGTGATTACTCACCTCCCCACTTGAACCATATTTAAAAAATGTACATTTGGTCATTCTGGGAAATATGTAAATCATCGGATCCATGCGATCTTCCTGATCGGTCTCCATATAATCTATCACATCCAGGCCAAATGTCATAAATTCGCCATCGAAAAATCGATTCATAAGAAACATTTGACCTGCAAAGAGCCAAAGAGAGAAGAGATACAAATCAGCCACAAGAGATACCGGGATACCGTAGATATTTTGTTGAACCCCACTTCGATCTGTTTACCCGAGGCCTAATTGATGGGTTTTTTGTTGCTGGCCCCGATTTTCCATCTACATTTTTTACCCTCCCAACTACCAGCTACCAGTTCCCTGCTCCCTGCTCCCTGCTCCCTGCTCCCTGCTCCTCTTTCTTTCATTTTCCGCTTTCCCCCTGGAAAATTCAGCGTTAAGAATCGCCTAATGACTCGTTCCGCCTGATCGATCGGATGCTTCGCTTGTAAACGAGGCGTCACTGAATCGATTTACTTTACAATTACAATCCACCGTGCGCCCCATTAATTATGGCAGATAAACCCAAACCGAAATCGAAATCGGAATGGGAATCGACACCGAAATCCATCAATTGTTCGCACTAATTGCGGCTAATTGAGGCGGCCGAGATGGAGGTCAATGAACAAACAATCTGAGATCACAGACCCAGAGGTGTTGGCAAGGTACGTTAACTTTTATGGCAGCGATGAAAACAAGATTCCGCGAACTGTGTCCCGGTGGTTGAAGTATATATTTGCAAAAAGCAAAGAGCACTTAAAAAATAACCTCATAGAAGCACTTGAAATATTTAACGATCACTTCTAGCCCAAGTATTGTTGGTAATTATTTGCATAATAAACTTTCAAGTTGCTTTCTTCAGCTAAAAATAAAGCTATTTAGCCAAAGAGAAAATCTGTTTGCCATAAAACCAAAAGGCAGAGCACCAAGCACTTAAGGTAAATTTGTGTTTCTATTATTAATTTTAATTATTTTGGAATGAGATTCAATAAGATGTGCTTTGCATTGTGAAGATATTTTCAAGTTTAATGGAAATGCGAATAAAAGTAAGCTCTTAAAATATGTTTTAAGTTTTCGGTTTATTTGATGATTAAATTATATAAAAATTATATACAATATTTTAAGGGTTTACAAAATGCTTGAACTATTTTGTGAGATCAAATAGTGAATATTTTTAAGCAATTAACACTTTTCCCAGGTTTATGAGATTATATTTCTCTAACAAAGAAATTCCAGTAAAAATTACGTTTAACTTTAAGGAAAATTCATGTTTTCTCTTAGGAAATAAATATTTTTTAAAATTTTAGCAACATTTTTAGAGTTTCAGAACTAAGAAAATGGACTTTGAAAAATCTTGAAAAATATACGCAAGTCAAATACCCGCTAATTGACCCATTTTGGGTGGCTCTGGCCATTTCTCAACGATCTCCCCTCGCTGAAGCTAGATGTCAGCCATTTTATAAACGCGTATTACTCGCATTATTATTGTTTATTTCTCGTGTTTTCTGACAGTTCATTATTTTGTCAGATTCCCGAATCACCGTGGCCTGTGTGTTTATTTTGATGCGGGTGGGTCAGTCGATAAAAATTCGTCATTGATTTTTGTTTCGGTGGAAAATGTGGAGAACTGTGAAAATTGAAAGTTTGGAAAATTCAGAAACAGAAAAATCGAAAATCGAAACGGGGGAATGTTAATGAATCGCAGATTTATGTTATCCCCGTTTTGTTGACCCCAAAACATTGTTTACCAAACCCGATCTGGCACCTGGCAAAGTCATATACACCGAAAAAAAAAGCAAGAAACACCCAAGCAAAGAAGCAAGCAAGTGAACATGATATTTCATATGTTGGTGAAACCGATATGAGACACAGATTGTGGTGCTGTGTGTGGTCGTTCAAAAAGCCTGATTCCACTGACACATATTTCTACATCCCGACCTAATGTACATTTACCTAAGCGAAAAGGGAAACAAACACACAAATAACGTAGAAGACAGCCCCGACTACATTCCACTCCATCACCCCCAAAAGTCCTCGTCATCATTGGAAGTCTATGATGATCGAGTCAGGAGAGCTGATGATGGAGAAATATATGTCAGGAGCAGGATTCGGGCTACGGGATCAAGGGTATATGAGCCAAGTCACATCTTCCCTGATCCTGTAGCCCAGATTCCTGTATATATATTCTGTGGGCACTCACCTATCACATTTATAAGGGCGAGCAGCTCACATACGTAATATCTGTACGCCCACCAATTGTGATATCTGAAAGGAAACGGAAGAACAAGGTGATTCATTGGATTGTTTATATATAAATGTGTGCCAAAATGTTTGCCTAATTTCCCTTTGTCTCTGGTGAACTTTGGATTCGTGACTCAGATTTCTGGAGAAGAGCTAGAGGTTCTCCTCTCCGGAAATGATTCTTCGTGGAATCGCGAGAGTCTACTAGCTAATTGTTACCCAAAAATTAATTGGAAAGCCTTTAATAAATTGACTTCTTCTACGTATTGTTACAGTTCGATTCGGTTTACTTAAACAAACATTTTGGCAATTGGGTAAATAACCCTTTCAAGGGAAGACTTGAGATGATCAAGGTAAATATTATTGTTAATTGTGTATTTATTTATTTAAATAGGTTAAGAATCTTGCATTTAGTGTTTGTTATTAACTTAATTTTCTTACAATCTTCAGTTGATTAATTAAGTTATTTCAGGTTGTCTTTTCCTTGAAAACTACATTTTTCTTCGAGTATTTTAGAGCCTACAAAAAATATTTTGCCAATAAAATACTTTATAGACTTTTGTCTCAACTTGTTAAAATTTTGTTTGCCAAGATCTCAATGATTGTGTTTTATAAATTAGGGTTATAAGTCAGTTTCAGTACTCACCTTAAATTTTCCCACAAATAATCTAAAAGTAATTTCTTTTTTTGTTTTTTCTCGGCTTCGGAACAAATGCCTATGTCTAAGTCCATGATGAGCGCATGAATCTTGCCACCCTCCCAAGATTTCCACAGCCATCTTGGTGTATAAAATAAGATTGCCTGCAAAAAAAAGCAAACAGAGTATAGAATATAGTGGCACGTATGTACATACATCTTTGTATTTATAGAGAGAGATCTGCAAAGGTGAGTTCCGTGTGGGCGTGTGATGTCGCATTGGAACTGTCGTAAAACCAAGAGAGGAGGGAAAAATCACCAGAAAATACCCCGTGACAAGTGACATTTGCCAGCTGTTACTGGGCCCCCCGCCCAAATCGCAGATTCCAGTGGCCGGCGGAAGAAAACAATGCCAGGCCAGAGGCATTAGTGACTGACCTTCGCCCACCGCCATAATTGTCTTTGCTAATTCCATACCCATTCCACGATTCCACATATAACGGCCCCTATTTATAGAGAGCAATGTCAATTAGCCGTGAGCCATTAGGGGCAGGCTATCGGCCGGTCGGGTTTACCTACCACGGCAATACGAGTACCAGGCTATCCGTAAGACAGACAGCCAGACACGGATTCTTGCTTAATTGCACCCATTCTTGTTGGTCAGCAAAAGGGGTATATCAGGCCGAAATTAAAGTGTAGAATTGTTAGAATTATAAATTATAAAATAATGTTATTCATATTTACTTTTACATATGGGGTTTTCAATAAGGAATTTATTAGATTATAATATGAAAAGGTTACATAAGGTATTTTCGAGCTAAAATATATATTTTTTCATCGTTTGATAAGGAATTTCTTAGATTATAATATCAAGATCTTAGCAGAAAGTATTCCCTTGAAATTCGTTAAAATTTGACTGCAATTCTGTTGCTTAAATAATTTTAAGTTGAATTTAAAAACATATTCCAGTAATAAAACATCATTTTCATCGTGATCAAACGTTTTACTTTGTCTTAAAGTAAATTTTTTCCTTAGTTAAATTCATATTCCTAATTTCTGTAGAATATCTAGCATACACTCTATACCATTTTAATATAAAATATCCATATTATTACTACCAATATTACGAGGTATTCAAGACTTCCAAAGCTCAATCTCAGGCACTCTTCACTCTATATAAGTCCGTCTGTATTTTCTTTTGTTGGGTGGATTTTAATGCCCCAGCCGATGACAAATTAATAATAACTTGTATCGTAAATTAGTCGGGGGATTCGGATACGGAATGTCAGGCATTATAACATCGGACCATTGGATCTTCAGACAGCTGGGGGGATTGGATGTTGTGCAAATTGTGTGTTTGCTTTGGCACATGACAATGTCGCCCCATCATCATCGCTACTGAGTCGTCTGAGTCGTCTGAGTCCCTTGGCAGGTGGTAATCCCCATTTCTTATTTCTTATTTGCAAGAGGTGAGAGTTCAGCTGTCGGCGGCTGTCCATCAAATGCTTTAAAATAATTTGCTTAATTTTATTTGATATATTTAAGGAAGGTTCCTCCCTCTCGAATTGTAAATCTCCACATGCGCCGCGGATCGTGCCTTGTGGTTTGCATTTGTTTTGGGGGAATTTTTCAATTTATTTTTGGGGGGCTGCAACTGCCGTACGAATTCCAAAACTATTTGCCATTGTCGCTGGCATTTGGCTTTCTAATTGGACTGAACAACATCTGCGGCATATTCTATAGTCTAATGACGGCAATCGTTGCCCACATGAACAGAATCTGGCCAAAAGGCTGAGGGTTTGAAGTGACTTTGCCTGAAATATACCCTATCGCATCCTTTTTCTGTTTAAATTTTTTTGTTGAATTTAAAATAAATATTAAAATTATTGATACTTCCTTATAAAATTCTATTTATTTAAAGATCCTATGTGTTCCGTCTTGCCGGAAGCCAAATGATCCGTTTGATTCGCTTTGGCCTCCATCGTCTTGCATCTGCCCTTTTGTGTACACAAATCGCCAATTGCATTTCTCTGACGACAGCCGCCCGAATGAGGAAGAGAAATGCCGCCGACCCAGAAGGGTGGCACTCCCGCCCCCATATTCGTTTTTCCGACGATTTTTCCCCCGCTGCGTGCGTGAAAAGCCATTTGGCACGCGTTCAAATTGCCGCAAAAGCATCGCATAAATGCAACTGCAACAGCAGCAGCAGCAGGGGCAGCAATCAAAGGGAAAGCCATCGTAGGAGAAGTCAAGTGAAAGCCACAGTAAGCTCCAAAGAATCTCCGGAGAATTCTTCCAGGCACAGTGGAGGAATAATCATTAACACTAATAGTATTTGGAAACAATAAAGCTTAAAGGAATTTTAAATACTTTAATTAAAGGCAAAGCTAAATTTCAAAGAATTTAATGCTTTAATTATTTAATTTTAATTTTAATTCATTTGCCTATTTAATTTTACTGAAAGCAGTGTGCCTGATCCCCAACTGATCCAATCTGTCACTCCCCCAAGCAACGCCGTCCGTCTCTATATTTCTCTTCCCCCAACTGAAACCCGAAGGGGGAGGCTAAAAATATCCGTAAGTCAAATATAAACAGATCCCACTCCATGGACCTTTGGTCAAAATGCTATTCCCTATGTTTCACTACTCGTAGCCAGTTTCCCGGCTACCGGCTACCAGCTCCCAGCTCCCGATTCCCACTCCACATTTGCTTTAGCATATCCATGGCTTTTTGTTTCAGCAATTCCCTGGCATCTGGCCAGAAATATTATTTCACTTTTATGTTTGTCTGCGCCTTTTCAATAAATATCTAGACACGCCGGCCGGCCGGCGGGATATGGGCTAGAAAGGAGGCACAAGTCGGCCCGGCAAAGAGGAAGAAATGCCAATTTTTGACATATCGGATCGATCGAATGGAAGCGATGGAAATTGATGGCTGCAGGTCGTTCGGTCTTTCAGTTTTTATGGCTGCATTGTCCAAAGTTAATGACTGATCGCTGCCCTGGACCCTCTACTCCTCTCCCCTCCTCGTATTAAGTCTATAATAATTAAAGACGGTTTATCTAGTGGGATTTATGGTAATTGGGCCAGGTGCTGTTGACCATTTGAATTTTATGAGTTTTCTTTTCAAAGCCTTGGGATTGTTTCAATCATGTGAGGTGTTTGTACACGGCAAGAAACGGGAAAATAAATTGGAAAACTTAAGTTTAAACTATAAAATAAATATAGTATTTAAAGACCCCCATCACCCCCTCTATTCCACTCCCGAAATCAATGATCCCACAACAGTCTCCTAAATATATATTTTTTTTGTTTTCCTCTTATTAATAAATCGTGAAATGAAAATTTAGGTGAAAGTGTAAATTATAGAAACGCGTCTACGCGTCATTAAGCAGGGAGAATACCATGATAAATGTATTTATAGGAATTTGGGTGACTAGAACGTCTCTATAATCGCTCTGTGACACTAACCGAGAAACGCTCCCCGCCCGACAAAGTGTGATAAAAATATACATTTAATATTTGTACATTGTTAGCGGGAAGATATATTGTGTAATCGTTGCGGAGCACCAACGCATCTATATATATGAGAGACCAGAGATCTATATTTACCTAAATACGCCATATGGGCGGCGACGTCACCGATCGCCGAAGGGGAGCGCGAAATGAGGGAGGGGGAGGGGGTTGGGGAAAAAAGCATCCATGACACAATCAATCTCCTTTAAGCGGTGCCAGCAATTAGCGATGACAGTTTTTGGGTATGGGAATCAGGTGGAAAGAGAGGTTGGGTGGAGGCTTAAGGGAGGTGCTAAGTACATAAAGATTTACAGGAATAATAAAGAGATATTAGTTCAAACTGAGCCAAGTCCCGAAGGAATATTATATGGGAAATATAATTTCATTATTTAACCCTGGAAAAACTGATATTACTGGTAATCTTTCCCTTTAAAAAAACAACAATATTCCTTCTCCCAGCGTAACAGCTTTTCCATTTCCACTTTCCCAGCCACTCCTAAGTGAAATTTTCGTTAGCGCCTCTGCTCACTTTATGATCCCATCGATTGCCGATCAATCACTCGCTGCCTCTATCTCCCTCCCCCTCTGTCACGCTCTCTATCTCGCTCTGGCATCGCCTACGTCACAGCCTGAACTATCTTTGAGATACAAGGCCACTCCAATCACTAGCAACAATAACAAAGCAAAGCGCACACAAAATACTTAAGCATTTTCATTTGGCTCACAAAAGGCCAAAACCGCAGAAGAAAAAGAAAAAAAGAAAAGAAAAAGAAACAACAAAATATCGAGAAAAAAAAGTGGAGCAAATATTTGGAAATTGAAAAGCAAAACGTATCTATGTATAGAGAGCGATGTATCTCAATGGGACGCTCGGCCAGTAAGAAATCGCTTAATTACTTAATCCATCAAATCATTCAACGCCCCCGAGCACAACGATAAACTGATCTATGGCCGATTTCGATATGCCGCGCAGGCGTAACCTCAGCAGGGGGTGAGTTATCGCATATGATCGATTGATAATTATTTAAACTTAAAATATAATAATAAATATAAATACTAATACTCGTCATGACTCGATGCCCAAGATATCGCTTAAAGATCGATTAATTCAATAAATCCTAAGTATCCGATAGCTGACAGAATTCGTCCTAGCTTGCGGCTCACCTGAAAGAAGAGGCAAAAGCACACCCACTGATAGTACTTGTAGTGCTTCTTGTCAGCCGGATCGCCGTCAGAGTTACCGATACCCGGATAGGGCACCGACACGCCCTGCTTCTTAAGAAAGAGGCTCTTGAGCGTGTAGGTGGACTGGATCCAGCAGTATGTGTTGAGGACATCTTCGGGAATATCCTTGGTGTGAACGCAATCGATTGGATTGCCCACGTACTGGCGTGTGGTTATAATTAGCGAGAATGACATCAGAATCATCACAGTTATTGAGTAGTGCAGGCGGAATACTATCGAATCGGTTTTAACGTGACTGACCTTTACAAGGTTTTTCAATCCACGAAATATATCTAACATGGTTTGTCGTCAGCGAGCTGGCAAGATTGGCGATGATTCTGTCTCGCTTTGCCTTGCTTTTTGGTTATTGCTTGCTTTGGTTATCGATAGTATCAGAGTCTATCAGTGGCTATCGCGCATCTATCGACCGACTGTGCTCCGATTTCCTTTCCGATGTCCTGCTTTCTCTTGCGCGGCAGGCCCATCATCGGCGCATCGGCTATTCGGGATTGAATCCGGCACCGCGATTGCTTCTGGCTATCGATATTCCTGCTCTGGCTCTCAAGTTCCTCTGCTTGCGGCGTTATCGTTATCGTTCTGGGTCTGTCTCTCACAGAGCTGGGCATCTTTGGGTCCTTTGAGCCGCTCTCCTTAATCCCCTAACCCTTGGTTTAACATTTGGCAACTTGGTTTTTGGCTTTGATTTTGGTATGTGTTTGGTTGTCTTTTGTTTTTCGGTTTTGGTTCTGTTTTTGTTTTGTATGTGTGTTCAGAATCAACTATATTTGATAATGTTGTTACAGATTTTGGGGAAAATTGTTCACTTTTTGCGCAGATTTTTCTATATTTTCACAAGGGCCCACATAGCTAACTTTACTTCTAGTTACTTTTGTTCTGTTTTCAGTTTAAAATTCATCGAAGATTTTTATACTCAGTGATTCAGGAATATTTAGTTTCTATGCTGGTCAAAGCTTTGCGCAAGAACAACAAAAAAATAGAGAACAAAATAAAAAACAAAACAAATAAAAAACGCTTCAAGCATATAAATAAAATGTGGCATCAAATGGCCGCCCCCGGGGCCCCCTCGCATATGTTAATAAACTTATGCTGACTGACGTAGAGAAGAAAAAGAACAACAGTTTCCAAATGAACTGTAAATTTTAAAATTGCAATGTTTATAAACAAACTTTCCCGCCGAGCTGCTCGATAATAAAATCAAAACAACAGCGAAAGCCAAAAGCCGAAAGGCGAAAATCGAAAAGCTAAAAGCCTAAATTCGTTGCAAAGCGAAAAAAATTGCGTATACGCACACGTGGCCCGCAAAGTCAAAGGCGAAGGCTGCCCCCGGGAGGGGGAGGGAGCTATCGAGGATAGAGACACAGCCACAGTGATCGGACCAAGGCGAGCATCGTTAATCTATTTCGTAATCCAGCAGAGTTCAGTCCCAGATTTGTTTATAAAACACAAGAAAATCTCCGCGGGCTTCCTGCCTCCTGCACTTGACATTTCAACGAAAATATTTCGTTGCTTCGGCATTGTGAAATATGCCAGAAATGCTCTAAAGATAATAGCCCAGCGATCTGGAGGGAGGACGGAAAAGGTGAACCCGGGGCGGTAGGTTGGGAAAACCCGAGACTCTTCATTTGTTTTTCCCACCGCATGCCTATATAATTATGATTTGAATTTGTGGCGTGGACAAAGTATGAAAATGAGACACGGCATTCCAAGAATCAGGCAAGTGACTAATTGGGATTTTCCTCGACGGGAAAATCTGTTTCTGCTCGGACACAGTGCCATATAGTAGTCGTTAAATTTAACAGCACTCGATCGGCTCGAGTTGAGTTCACTTTCGAATGCAGCCAGCAGAAAAAGCTAACAAAAACATATTCCCTCCGATCAAAAGATCACTTTGAAGTCTGCGGCATTAGAATTCGAATTTCAATTTCAATTTGAAATTGAATTTGAATTTGAATCGAAAACGAAATCGATTTGATTTTAATATTTTCAAAGACAATAAGGGGAAGATGATGCTTCTGCTTTCTTTAGAAATCTGAACAGTGTCATTGCCCATAAATGATGTGGCAAGTATTTCATAATTATTAATATTTCTATGTTTATTAAGCCAGTGCAGGTTTAGTTGAGAAAACATGAAAATCCCTGGCTTATGGCTGCCCTACTTTAATTTATATTTTTTATATGCCTAGATATATGCTGACTTGGACTTGCTAATTTCTTAATATTTCAGAAATCTGTGGAAATTTGGAGGGAATTACTTAGAAACTATTGCCACAGTTTCATAGATTTTAGTTTAGGAAATATCATAGGCCATTAACAAATAGCCAAGCTCTTAAATATTTTCTAGAAATTCCTTTGCTTCTTTCTAGGCACAAAATAAAGTTTTGTAAATTATATTTAAGCTTGTCTAAACTTATATTTTGTATATGCCAGGTAATGGTTAGCGTTTTTCTATTATTTAGCTAAAATTTAAATGTATTTGTTTCAAAAATTTAAATAAAATAAGCCCCCCCATCAGTTGTTTTTAATTTCATTCACTTCACATTGATTAACACAGAGTAAATACTTTTA